ATATATACCAGTTAATTTCAGATAGTGATAAATTCTATGGAGAAAACAAAGGGGGCTGTAGGCCGAAGCTCAGACATATTTGCAGTGCTGCCGAGAGTCTTGACTTTATGATCTTAGAAACGTCTCTCTACAGAAGTGATATAGTCTTGCTAATTTCTTAACTATTTAGTACTTTTTACATGTGTTAATGTCATTGTTTTGGGCTCTTACTGCGGACTCTGGGGGCTCTGATAGGGCACCCCCTGGACCCTAGTCCCGTTGTGTGCACCTTGGCCCCCAGGGAGGCTCTTGAGGATGCAAGGACAGCCCGGCTGAGCAGCAGAGGTGCTCGTCTCTCCTATTTTCCCACGTGGGTCATGCCCTCCCTAACAGCAGAGTTTTTCTCAGCATCTTTGGGCACCATCTGCAGCACCATTCTTTTTTAAAAACTTTTAATTTTGAAATAATTTGGAAACTGTATGAGAGTTTCAGGAACTATAGAAGCACTCCTTCATATCCTTCATTCACACACAGAGAGACATCTATTTTTTTTCATGAGAGTACATTGCAACTATAACGGCCTTTACCTCTTTTCCCCCAGCTCTACTGGGGTGTGGTTGACAAGACTGCCAAGCTATGTGAAGTGAACAGTGGGATGATTTGATACGCCTACACACTGTGCAGCACATGTTTTGGATGACATTTCATACCTGCTCGACCCAGCTGACTCCGGCTTCTCATCCGTGAGATCCGCCCATTCTTTGGAGGGGCTCGATGGGGGAACCCGACAGAGGAAGCGGAACCAGGCCCGAAAATCAGAGGAAATGCCCTTCACACACCTGGACAGTGTGACAGCCATAAAATCCTAGTGTAAATGTCACACTATGTACCTGCTGCAATAATGAAAATTTAGATCAATGAAGCGTCAAATTGTAGGCTAACAAAACAGGAAAATGCTGAACAGAGAGGGCAGAACCTTCAAAATTCCTATCCTTTCCCCCTTAATTCCAGGTGGCCAGCTTCCCTGTGGTGCCCAGGGCGCTGTATTATTTTCCAGACTTGGACTTTTCAATAGGTGTTGACCCTTCCTTGTGTATCCTACACAGCTTCAGCGTACACATCTTAGGCTAAAGGACCTTTCAGACTCTCAGCTCCATATTTTTACTCCCCCTGCAAATAGCCAAATGTGAGAAGCAAGAAAGACTGATATCAACTTCATTCCATTATGTCCAAATTGAACAGCGTCTTTTATTATATTCTAGGAGGAAAAAAAAATCCCATGCAAACTCTTGTGGTCTCCTTCTGGCTACAGAGTTAGATAATCTTCCTGGGTCACCAAAGTTTGGAGATGCAATAGATGTGAGTGCTTGATATCTTCCTGCATTTGTGATTGTCCCAAGAATTCTTTGTCAAGACTAGCATAAACAAACAAAGTCATCCCACCTGGAAAGAGGAGGCAAGTCAAATAAATACTACACTGACTCTGGGCCTTGAGGTCTGGTGTCGTGTCCTGTCTTTCCCCTTCACTCACGTGAGACAGACATTATGAAATGTCTCATCTCTAAGTGGGCAGAGCACAATATTCCAAAATCTGTCAAATCCAGAGTCTGTACAGATTTCCTCTAATAATTGGGACAAGCCCTTCAAGTGGTCAAACTTCATTAGTAATCTGTCAAATAAAGGAGAATCAGATCAACAGATTCTTTTTTTACAAGATACTTTTGTACTTGGAATTCATCTTATCTTTGAAAAATAAAAAGGGCAGAAATTAGATTGAAAACATATCTCCTTAATATTTTTTAAAAGAATGTTATCATTAATCTAAATTTAAACTTCAGTGTCATAGGGACACATGTCCTTTTCTTTCTATTATTATCATTAGTAAAAATTTTACAAAACCTTATGAAAGACTAAAAGTTCTTTTTTTTGTTGTTTTTATATTTTAAGACATAAGAGACATGGTTAAAATGACAAGTTTCCAAATAACATGAATAATGCATTTTCCCTTTATCCAAAGCAAATGCATTTTGCTCCTAAGAGACGTTTTAATCCATTCCCTTTTTTTGAGGAGAGAAAAGGAGGGGATGAAAGGATCTGCAGTTAGAATCGGCATTTAATGAAAGACACATATTTGATTTGTGATTATAAAATAACTGCTGTAGTAATTTTGAGTTTAGACAAGGGTAGTGGATTTTGATATGAATGAAAAGAAAATTATATTTCTGTTAACACTCAAAGTTAGCTCTTTGGGATAGAATTATTAAAAGCTACTCTTCATTATGCCACGGCAATAGTGGAGCCCATGTTAAGAAATCTCTCTGTATGTGTATAAATACTTACTCCAGGAAGCACCAGGTCTACATCTGTAGAATAAGTTTCAAAGAACAGCCTAAGCTTTCATAAAACTTGGGTAGAGAAACTTAAAATGCCTTCTGCTACCCTACGCTTGTCCTCCACTACACCCCACCCCTTCCAGCAGAGAACGTGCTCATATGAATGGTCAAATTTAACCACCATCATGGGATCACTGGCAGTGGAGTTTGCGGGGAGTGGGGGGAAAGCCATGGTTCCTCTAAAGTTTCATTTTCTAGGGTTTGCTTACTCCCCAGTAACGGGGGCAACACAATGGCCCTGGGGCTGCAGCTGCCCTGAGGGGTGCCTCTACAGGGAGTAGATCCAGGGGCTCGCAGATGAGCCACGCTCTCCTTAGGCCTTCTTTCAATTCCTTGGTGCACTTTTCTCTAGACACATCTTTCCTTGCTACTAGGGTGGTAATAATGCCTTGGAGGTAAGTAAGATTGGGAGGTGAGCACAGGAGAGAGGAACAAAGGCTGTAAACTTGCATTTTGCTCTTAGATCTCCATGTGGTCCAACCTACTTCACCAGGGGAACACTTCGGGATTTTCCAGCTGAGGCTCCAGCAAATAACAAGGAGCGTGCACTTTTGTGGACTTTTCCTCTGTGCGTTTCTCTCTCATGACTTAGCAGGGGTAAAGGTAGACATGTAGGGGACCAGTCAAGACTTCTGGATGTTGGGTTATCTCTCTCTTTGATTTAGCAACTTCTCGGCCAAAGATTAGGGAGACTCCCTTCTTTTTGCCAGAACGAGAATTAATAGGTACTTGTAACTAAGATAGTCAAGTAAAGCCTCAGAACTCCACGGGTCAGCAGCCAGTTAGGCAGCAGTTTCTAAGAAGTTTCTTAATTTTCTCTTTAAGATAACAGTAAGAAATAATCAGCCATTAACCACTTTGGTTTCTTAGCCCTCTGGCCAGTGAAATCTTTTTTCTTGGACTGTTCTAAAAAACTAAGAAGATTCTGAAGACCCTTGACCCTTCTGGCTGCTACCTTACAAGAGATGAACAAAAAGGTGTCTGTCCATGCTCAAACTCCAGGAAAATAACCCACAAAGCCTACAAAAATGGTTCATGATTCCAGTGACATAAGGAGGAACAAAGGGTAAATTCTATAATGAAGAATCGCTGTGTGTCATGAACTAAGGATTGTGATTAACAACTTCTGTCTACCTAATGTGTAACTTAAAAAACTAGTTAATGACTGAAAGGGAAAGTCTGGCTCTCCAACAGGTGTTATAATTTAGTATTTAACACTAGAGAACCCATGAAAGGAAAACACGATAAGGGTCAGTGCTGTCATTTAGTATCACACTAAGTGGGAAGGCCGCTGGAAGTCTCTTCACTCTTCCCACCAGAGGAGAACTGAGTACCAGCTAACGTAGAGAAGCCAAGGAGGGACTGATGTATAACTGGCATTCTTGAACTTCAAACTCTGGGTACTTCCTTATTGCTGACAAGGAGAAATCAGAGAACACAGCCCATAGCTGACTGCAGTAGTTTTTCTAAACGTGACCAGCACTAAGAAGGATGTTTTATAGGATGAGAAGAAGAAATCGCGGCACTGGGTGATGCCATCTAATTACAGAATTCAAATTACTTTAGAATCTTCAAAGCACGCAAACAAGGATGTATAATATATTCACAATATGCCTCTTTATAAGTCATGTATTTCATAATGAATCTAAGCCTTCAGAATAAGAATAACCACATGTAGTTCTTATAAAAATAAATCATAATCATGAACAGAGTTGCTCAGAAACTGGACTCATTTTGTTCTTTATTCAAAAGGAAAATTGCCCTTTTCACTGACAGCTTTGCCAAACCATTCAATTTAAGGTTGGAAACACTGCTTTGTTTCTCCTGAATTGCTAAAACTACTCTACTCTAAAATCCTGTAGCCAAGGTTTACCTGTATAAAATACATATCAAAACATTATTTTTGATAAATGTTTAAATGTATTAACACTTTTAACCCTTCCCTTAAGCACAGTCGCTCCCATAAGAGGTTCTTCCATGAATTACCTAGTTCAGATAAAGTTTGAATAATATTTTAAATTTCCTTTTTCCTTTAATTTCAGAACTTTTGTGTCATTGTCAAATTCAAAGCTTCAAATATTGAAGTTTTGGGGTAAAGACATTTTAAGATATTTATCTGACATGTTTTGCTGAAAAAACAGGTATCACTTACTGTATTACAAGAATCCTAATCACAGCTTCCTAAGGAAACAAAGTTCCAGAATTCTGTAAGAGTTGTCCGATGGAAGTAAATCCATATTCAAAGAGATAAGAAGAAAGGAGTAACTTGTTAGTCAGCACATATATGGTCTGCTACAGCAGTTCTGAGCCCCTTTGTTCTGCCGGGTATGCCTCGGGGAAGAAGTAGATGCCGCTGTGGAAGTCAACCCCCGAACACAGAGATGAGTGAGAGCTGATACAAACGCAAGTCATTTTACAAAGGATTTGCACACAAGATGAATTCTCACAAGTTGGCAAGCTTTCCCAAAGTCTAGCTTTCATGAATATTGTTTGAATAAGTTGTGTAGAATGCCGTCTACACCCTAGGAAATAGCACTGATTTTTATTACCAAGTTGGAATTATTTAGGATCACCAAATAACAGGGTTCAAAAGTAAAACAGCTGAAAAATCCAGCAGTCTGGTCTAACCTGGGATGCTCTGTCTCCTCACAGCCAACGCTCCATCAGGCGGCTTTGTCTGGCTGGCGGATTTAGTGTAGGGACTCTCATCTGCAAAGGTACAATGAAGGGTTTGGTTAATTTCCATCCAGTTTCTAATGCAGTGAAGACTTTTCAGTGGATTGCAATCCTTCTTCCAGAGAGAGGTGATAGGGTATGGTACAGTAGAAAGAGTCAGGAGACCTGGCCCCTAACCTTGATTTAGCTGTGGGTCAAGTCATTTAAAAAGCTCTGAGCATCAGTTTCCTCTCCTTTAAAAGAGGGGTATACTTTCCCATCCACCTCTTAGGATTGTCAGGATCAGGCTATAGTGCACATGAAGGCATAAAATGGTAAGAATGCAAATACAGTCCACAAATTATTTGCCTGTCACTTACATTCACTGATAAATAAGTATCAGTGAATATCAGTAACAGGAAGACAAAGAAGGAATAAAATGGCTCAATGGGCACTAAGAATAATCAGGTAGAAGAACAAAGGAAATGAAAAGAAATGTTATATTTCAGATAAGCAGATGACAGAGTGTTAGTACTGCAGGGGAATAAAGACACACAGAATTAGTGGGTTCCTCTTGGAAGTGTGAACCGGCATCCAGCACAAAATGGAGGGATGGGGACATTCAGAGTAAGACCAGAGAAGTTAGGTTGAGAACAGGGAAGGAACGATGGTTTGGCAAAAGAAGACGTATATTGCAACGAGCTGATTTGCCCTTTTAGAAAGAGATGAAAATAACCTGCATAACCATAAAAGAGCAACTGAAAAGACAGAAGAACTAAAGCTCATATATCTGAGAGTTAGGCAAGAAGCTGAATGAGCAAAACACTAGGAGATCATAGAGGTGAAGGATCCATCAAATTCTAAGTGAAGTGATATTTTTTTTAAATCTAGAAAAGGACTTAATCTGGCTTGGAATATAGGAGTAATAATCTAGGATCGCAAATATTAGGGTTAAAGCAGAAAGGAAGAATTCTTTCTAGTTTGCATGGGGCATTTGTATAAAGTGAAAAAGATGTCTGAGTGACAACCTTAAACATTTTCAAGAATAGGATGTATATGGCCTGAGTAGACATAATGTAACATAATTATCCAGCACATCTAGTCAAGCTAGATGACCCAATGTTAACATCAGGCCACACTATGAGGTTGGTTTGTTGTTGTTGTAATAGGAAATCATTAAAGGATTAAAAAGAACCATATTATTCATGGCAAACTATTAAATATAACAAGGATTTAATTCAGCAACAAGGCTTTGTCATCTGAAAATATTAGTTCTCCCAACTATGTGGTTGGTGTTTCAAAACTGAGGACTCGATTCCTCTTCAGGATGTACTTCTGGTTGAAATGATTCACGATTTCTTCATAAAACTAACAAGATCTTTATAAGCCACGACAAAAAGGAAATATTAACACTGCTGTAAGCTGTAATTAACTTAAAAAATGGAAGTCATGCTGTTTCATGTTTATATTCCACTTGTCACACAATTCTTCATATTCTTCCAACCATAAAGATAAACGACCAAGTTTCAGACACCAATCCAATCAACAGCAGCATTTTTGCTTATGAAGCAGTCTCCTAGATCTTGGACTCTTCTCTTTGCAAATGCAACTCTGAGTATAATCACAAACCACCAAACAAAAGGTAAGCATTCCACAGAAATCTCCATTTGCCCCTCCATTCCCACCTACTGGATTCCCAGGCAATATGCTTCATATAGCACCTATTAAAACAAAATTACCATACGTTAAAATCTCGATTCTTTGTAAAACCCATTTAAAAATATATTTCCTTTTACTATCCAAAACTTTGAAAGTGTGTATTTATGAGTACAGAGCACAGAGCCAGGAGATATAGATCATAACAACCAGTTTTGGGGACAGTATCTTGGCAGCCTAGCAGGTTTCCCCAGTTTTCAATTTGTCAAGCGTCCAGCCAATTAAAGTCTTGGGTTGAATCCAGTGTGGGATTTCTTAAAGGGCAGTAAGAGATTTGCCCAGGAAACTCTGGGGTTTTTGGCACTTGATACTCTATTTTAAGGAGCCATTTCTTTAGAAAGTTACCCAGTTTGCATTACAGAAGTAGTCACCCCTGGTGAAATTGTTTTCTCATTTATATTTGAAAACAATTTCCTTGATGTAGAGCTGAGATAGTCTAGTTATGCACACCCTTAAAAGGTTGAAACTGAATTATAGATGGCCACCTGACCAGTGCCTACATATCCAGTCCCCAGCCCCCACCCTCACTCCCAGTATTAAGGGTGTCCTTACTGAGCGTAGGCAAAAGTAAACAATTATCTAGAAGCCAAAAGTTGTATTGGCCAAAAGACCAGACTGAAATAAGTTCAATATTATCTAAGAATAGCTTGCCAAAGTCAACCAGGGTGAAAGCAGTAATTCTTAATAGAAGTGAGGCAGAATCTTGGCAACATTTTTCATGAGAGTTAAGGAGAGTGTAACAAAGCAGTATGGCACCATTTAACACTTGTTTTTAAAGAAACTTTTCCTAAGAATATCTCCTTATTTTAAACCTCTAAGAGGCATCATGGGCCTTTCATAAAAAGCTACCCATCACAGAATGGACATAAACTCTCTTGATGTGATTTACTCAAAGTCAACTCTTGATTCAGACTTTTTGTTTTTTGTTTTTATTCTGGTGAGGAAGATTGGCTCTGAGCTAACATCTGTGCCCATCTTCCTCTATTTTGTATGTGGGATGCTGGAAATAGAAATGGAGGGAAGACATTCAAAGAATCAGCGGCTAATGGCTCCAGAATAGGATACAAAAGGACAAGAATGTCTGGGGTACATTTTTAATCCTTGAGCATCAAGTCATGGAGAGCTATGGAGCCTTCTACTGTGGCTTTCCCATGTGTCCCTCAATGGAGATTTGTAGATACAAATGATTACATGATTTGTATACATGTTTATAAGGGATGATCTAGACCACTCTTTCATTTTATAGTCAGGACTTGAGGCCCAGGGAAGGGAATTCATAGAAGGACACACATCTAGAGTGAGTCTAGACTGAATTTCTTTTATTCTTATTCCCATGCTCTTTCCTCCTTGTGTTACTTCCTCTTGGATGAGCAGTGAGAGTTGATGGGTTCTCAGGTGCATGTTTCTGTGTCACACAGGTAATGACTGGACATCCCACTCCAGCAGAGACCTCCTGTGATGCAAGTTAATTTCTGTGGAGAAGCCTGTGAAAATGAGCAATCATAGCTAGTTCTTTTTGTGTGTTTATAAATCTCACGCCCACCCCCCCGCATTTTGTTTGCCTAAAATGAAGTACACTTAAATTCCACCTCAGGGCCAATTTATACTTTTAAGTTTACTTTTTTGAAGACAAAAACTTAAAATAAATGCCAACACAATTCACTCTTCCTCAGTAAGGGCCTCCAAAGTTTCTCTGAATGAGATCTACGTGAATCCTTCCCCTTGGTTTTATCAGGGAGACGCTAACTAGATGTTCAAGTTCCATCCAATTACATAAATGAATTAAAAAATAGGTCAAATCACAAGGAAAAAAAATCAGTCAGTAGATGATATCCCGAGCAGTGTCCGCCACAGAGTGTGCACTCATTATGTATTTGCTGATAGAGGACTGGATTATATTCAACCTTTCAAACTACAGCATTTACTGTCAATAAGCAACCTGAAGAACGCCAAACATTTGTTATGAGCTCCCCTGACCTCTGACTTTCTTTTTCTAGGTTTATAGCCTATTCCTTTTAAGGTCATGTCATGGCCCAAAAGCTATTAAGTATTGACTTATTGTATGTTAAAAATCTGTGAGTCTTTATAAAAGTTATATTAAAATACATTTTCCTTAATGTTCAGACTACAGAGTATTTATTGAACAACCTTTAAAATAATGCCTTTAAACTAAAGAATTCTAACTTTCACACCAGACTCCCAGCCTCAACTTTGATGGTGGATCACACTAACAGAGGGTCCTTACTGAAAGTCACTATAGGGGCAAAGCAGACGTTCAGCCAGTGAGCTACTGCTCATTGAAGTGAAGGCCGCAAGAAATCACTACAGGCAGCTCAGGGTATCAGAACTGTCAGCCTTTTGTAATGACATCTTAGGGCCGGCCCCGTGGCTTAGCGGTTAAGTGCATGCGCTCCGCTGCTGGCGGCCCGGGTTCGGATCCTGGGCGCGCACCGACGCACCACTTCTCCGGCCATGCTGAGGCCGCGTCCCACATACAGCAACTAGAAGGATGTGCAGCTATGACATACAACTATCTACTGGGGCTTTGGGGGAAAAAATAAAATTATAAAAATAATGACATCTTAGCAGCTAGATAATCACTGTCACATGATGGCCACCCACTGTCACAAGGGCTGCATATTGGTCATAACAAGGAAGAGCATGGGTCCCCTTTACAGTGACATCCCATGAGGCTAGGAAAACACCCTCCATTAAATGGAGAATCGGCACTGTGACAGAGACACAGAAAAGGCTTAGTCAAGAATATTCTTAAAACAGAAGTGGAACAATGCGGGGGACCATCTGTCCTTCTCATTCCCCACAATTTGACCAATCTCTTCATGTGCCAAACACAGGAGGAGCAAACGCAGGTCATCCGTTTTGATCACATATTCCAAGAGAAGCCGGCATTTACAAACTTGGAAAGCAGGCACCTAAGGAGCCGTGCTTAATCCTGCACCACAATCAAAGCCCATGTCTGAGCTGGGAGAATCACACCTCGAGGAATGGACTCCGGCCCCCTCATGTTCCCATAGCCTCAAAGGTCTGCCTGGCATCACACAGCATTCATGCGTAATCAGGCTGGTTCTTGTCTCTCCATCTCCTGCCTCTCCCATTCCCAGGCTCTGAGCTTCCCGGGGGGAGCCAGATATGACTGTGGTTTCAAGAATCTTGAGCTGCGTTCAGGGCTTTGTTGAAGAAAAAAAATTTAATTTCCTTTGGCTGAGACTAATCTGCCTGTGCTAAACAATTCCTAGCAACTAATTATGCACAATTGAGACACCTGCTAAGCTAGCAGATCCTTTAACTTCTTGATTAGAAAAAAAGGCATTTTGTGC